CCACTGTATTTCTGTATATAACTTTGAATAAGAATGTATGTATAAAAATTGAAATACGTAATAATAATATAGATTTGTATGTTTTGATGTTTAAGTTTACAGTAAAATAGTAAAAATGATAATTTTTGTACTATTTTACGCACTTTAAAAAAAGTATTTACAAGCCATAATAATAAAAATATTGTGAATTCTCCACAAAATTTATTTTTTTCTGAAATTGAAAAAAATAACAAAAATAATAACACCAATAATCAAAATAAATAATTGACTTTTATTCATCTTTGTTTTGTTCGTGTTTTTTCATTTTTTCAACAAAATCAATTCATTTCTGTAGTGAGTAGCCAATCATCGTTTAACATCTCTGTCTTATTGCTTTATATGAAAGAGAATGCATCACCTCCCCACTCACTACATACGAATAATTGAATAAATACAAGTAAAATATATTTGCTTTGATTTTTATTTCAAATTTCAAAATATTTTTGTAGTTTTGTTTTTATTTTATTTTTCTGCGTGCAAAATTCGCTGTTCTCTGATTGGTTGACTTGCAACATAAGTGTGAAATTCACGTTCAATTGCATAAAAGTGTGTGAGTGTGCGAAATATAAGCGGCTTTTTCAACAACATTTTATTAATTTACACATGTAAGCACGAGATTTCTCTTTTGTTATGTACGTCATCGGTTTGAATCGGTTTGAAATATCAAAAAAATCAAAAGCAAAACAAAATGAAATAATGGCAAATAAAAATACCAAAAAAAAAATTCAATAAAACGTTAACGACTAAAAACGACAAGCATTAATTCGTATTCGTATTCATGCCGTATAGAATAAAGAACATCGGCAGCGATGACATGTAAGATCGTGCCTCTGCTAATTAGTTCATTTTTTTTTTAAATATGTATTGATTTTGCTTGATTATTGCTTTTTGCATTAATTCAAGAAGAAAGCAAAGAGTTCATTATTTAATCGACAAATGTTCTACTCTTTAAGAAATCATTTTACTATTCTTATTAAAAATTGAAAAGTGCTTCAACAGTTTAGGCGCAAAAAATATAAAATATCTCTCACAAAACATTGGCTCGTTTCCACTCTCTCTCTCTCAGAGTCCCGCTCTTAAACAAGTGATTTCTACACTGATTGTTGGTATTTGTTCTTATGAGTAGGCGAAATACATTTTAGTTCATTGATCTGAATAGAAGTGTACGGTACGTCGATTTTTCATAGAGATCTTTTTTAACAAATACATATATAATATTGTCAAATTTGTATCTCATTTAGTAGATAGTCAGATCAGACCATGGGTTCTCTGTTTATATTTGGTTGTCATTTGCAAATTTTATCTTATCGTGTTTTGAATGCGTACCTGTAAAGACTTCTCGCCGGTTCGGTTAATTTTAGGCTTATAAGCAAAGTTCTTAAATTTATGTATTTATATTGCAAAGAAAAACCGTCGCTAAATATATCAGTTAATTTATGAATAAAATTGTTAAAAAATATTTTTTGAGAATTTTACATGAATTTATTAAAGTTATAAAAAATTGAATAAAGTTTTTGTGAAACTTTTTTAAGTGCCAATAATTAAGAAATTAATTATAATTTTTTAATAAATTAAGAAATTTATTCTTAATAATTTATATATATATCAAGAACTTAACAAAATGAAATTAATAAAATTTTTCGGTAAAAAGTGTGAAATATTTAAAATTGAAATTAACAAAACCTAAAATAATTTTTTAAAAATTATGAAATTAAAATAAAATATATAAATAAACTGATTATACAATAAAAAAATGTATTAATATTAATATTTTTTAAATAAAAAAAAACTATTTATAATAAGAAAAAGCATAAGACCAAAAAATTATTTTATATTATAATAAAATACAATTTTATAAAATTTTTTGTTTCACCAATACAAAAAAAAAAAAATAATTTTATAGTATAATAAAATTTTTAAACAATATAAAAATAAACTATTTTATATAATAAAATTTTTACCCAAAAAATTTTAAAAAAAAATCAATTTTTGAAATAATAAAAAAAACAGTCATTAAAACAAAGGTTTGTTTCGTTCAATACACGTAAAATAGTTAAGATTAAAAAAAAAAATATATAAAATAATGTAACATAATATATTTTAAAATCGAAAAACTATATTTAAAATTTGTGTGTGAATATATTATTAATATCTAAATAATTTTTAAAAATTTTTAAAGAATTAATATATGTATAATATATATTATACCGATAAATATTTTAATAATTGTAATTATTTTTAATAATTTTAATCATGTTTAAAACTAATTTGTGTTGCTGTTAAAAATTTTCCATATCCATATTTTTTAGTGTATATAAATGCATATCATATAAAAAATAAATAAGTTATTTTTTTTGTTTCGAAAATTTGTCTTAATGTTTATAATACTCATAATATGTCTATAATACTGAGTAAAAATAGTCTGTCATAGGGTAGACTCAATATCCTGTACAAAAAAGGGCAGTGTGTAAGAACATTTGTCTTAATATTTATAATACTTTAAAAATTCTATTAACTGTCACTTTTAATAATATATAAGGAAAACAATTTTTTTTTAATGTCTTATAAATTAGTATCAAATTTCTTAGATACATTTCTATAACCAACCGTTCAAATATAGTATGTGTACTTTATTATACATAGTAATATAATAATTGCAACAAAATTACATTTAAAAATATTTAATCACTTCAAAAATAATTATATTCATTTATTTTTTAGCATAATTTGAAAAAAAATATATTACTGTACTTTCGAAGAGTTTATTCTTAAAGTTTGTTAAAATAAAATAACCTCAAAAAATAAAGCTCAATAGTTAGCATAATAATAATATATTTTTTTTTAGCAAATTTATTAATTTAATAAAAATTATTTTTGATTTGTCTTTGTCTCGAAATAATAAGATTAATGAATATTTTTGATTTAAAAAAAAAATTAAAAAATAAATAAATAAAAATCGAATATACATTAAGGAAATTTAAACTCACAAGTACTTCAACTTAAAGTTTATAAATAAGCAATATTTATTTATTGTTAAAAAAAAATATTTGTAATTTTATGAGAAATTTTATATATTTTGAATATTAACTTTAGAGTGATATTAACGTTTTAGGGTAGGGTTTATAGTAATTCATGCTTCACCACTAAAAACAAAGTACTATTAAAATAATATATTAGTATTTAGAGAAATATATTATACTTTAATAAAAGTTAATATATTTATAGTTTATAAAATTATTTTTAAAAAATATAATTTATTCTCACCAATATTTTGTTTATAGTCTATAGTCATTTTGATGGCATTGATATAATAACAATGTTTATAAATATATTTTCCAACTGTAATACTAGAACATTTTTTTATTTTTTGTTTGGAAAATTTTATTTTAAAATTGTTTCCTTTTTTTTTAGTTTTGCGAATTGCTTAACTTTTTTTGTTTTTTTTTTTTTATTTTTTTAAATTATTTTTTAATTTGTTTTGAACTGCTTTTAATATATTTATAAATTATTTCTTAATATTTTTTTAAAATTTTTTTTATTTCTTATTTAAAAATTAAATAATATTAAAAAAAAGAATAAAATAGAAATACAAGAAGTAGATTTTTTTTAACGGGCTAAACATAAACATATAAACTGATTTTTAGTTATAAAAACAATATTAGTGTTAATAATAATGGTTATTATATAACATAATGTTAATTATAATATATAATAATAAAAAAATAATATAAAAACAATATTATTGTTAATATTATTGTTAATTATATAACATAATGTTAATTATAATAATTATTAATAATAATATAACATAATAATTATAAATAATTTATATAGTTCTATTATTAATATATTTTAATATAATTAATAATAATGTTATAAATGTTAAATAATATAATATATATGTTGAAATGTGAATCCCTTCACTTCTTGCTTGCATTTACTCAGTGCTCAATAAATTTAACTCAAATAGAAACATCAAAATAACTGAAGTACCAACTTGTTCTTTTTCTTGTACTGAAAACGAGTAACGAAAGATACTAATAGTACCAGCTAACAGGACTAAAAAATTATACTAATATTGATATAATAATATTGAAATAATTAATAATAGTTAAATTAATAATTATACTCAATAGTAAATACTGTAATTAAGGTGTTAGTTTATAATTACTAAAATTCAGTTATAAAAAACAAACGTAATATAAAATTCCTTTTCAAATTCTTCAACTTTTGTTAAAAAATTCTGTGGTTTAGTTTGTTGTTGTCTTTTCGTTCAAAAGTTTCGTATTGTTTTTACGAAAGTATCTTTCAGCGTTTTTAATTTGATTTGATTATGTTATTTTAAAATGTTTTTTTGATGTGGACTTTGTACGAGATATTTTCATTGTATTTAGTTTTTTTGAAAACGTTTTCCCGCATTTCGCTGCGCTGCTCGCGATATTGGCAAAATAATACAGTGTCACTGCAACAGTATCAGTGCTTGAAAAATATATATTTCTGTATATTTGTATATATAGTATTTCATATATATTTCGTATCTTAACACAATTTGTGACGAATTACCGGCGGCTGCGCTAATCAACGGAAAAAAAACGCTGAATAAAAACGCCAAAATACATAAACAACAAAATTTATTATTAACAGCAACACAAAAACACGAGATATGCACGCGATAAAATGTTGTTTTCATGTTGACATGTTTTTATGTGATTTGAATAAATTTAATTACAATTTATTTATATATTAAGTATTATTTTATACAGTTTTTAATATATATATATATATATATATAAATCAAATTAATAAAATGTGTAATTAAAAAAAATAGCAAATGTACAAAAAAGGTCACATATAAAATATACATTGTTCTAGACTGAAACAAAATAAAGTAAATAAGTAAGAAAAAAAAAAGAAAAAACACTATTACGTGAAAATAAACATACAAACAGAAACAGAAAAAAAATAAATAAATAAATAAAAATTGTTTTAAATTAAAATGCGGTTCACATATAATCAGTTCAATTATGAATCCGGTTATCGGATTCCATCCAAAATGTATAACAGCAATAATAATAACAACAGCAACAGTAGCAATAACAACAGCAACAGCAACAACAATAACAACAATAGCAATAATAATAACAACTACAACAATAATAATAATAATAATAATAACTATAACAACACTAACTCAACTATATCCTCAATACCAACTTATCAGCATCAACATCAACATCAGCATCAGCATCAATATCAGCATCATTATCACAACTATAAGAGTAATTTTGGTAAGATTTGAGCACAGACACAGTCCCTTCTTTTAAGATAAAAATGAAATTTATCAATGAGTCTGCATCTGTACGTTAAGCAGCGTTAAATGTTTGCAATTTTTATATGCAAGATATGAAATTTTTTTTCCTTTCCCTTTGTATCTTTTTGTGTACCTACTGCTGATAACTGAATGTCTCTTACTTTCTCTTATCACAAATTATTTAAATTATCTTAGATAGATATAAAAAATATTTTAACTATATTTTATTGTAATAACATATATGTAGAGTAGTTAATTTATTTATTAAAAAAAATTCTTAAAAAATATAATTATTCAAGAACGCTTTAAATTTTATAGTAAAAAAGAGTTTTTTAAAAAAAACCTACTGGAATCTGTGCATTTCCGTGTTAAAAACCAGTGCAACTATTGAACCAGTTTGAATCGAGATAATTTTTAGCAAATTTTCAAGGGCCTTTAAAAAAGTGTAAATATTTTTTCTGATTCATTTTACAATTAATTTTGTGTATTTCTTAAATTCGTTTAATTCGTTTAAACTGGCTTAAACAAGATACAATCCGATATAATAAATGAATTTTATTATTACAAGCGGTAACTAAATTTTCTTTAACCTTTACAAATGCCCACGTAATGTCGTACTTCATTCAATATTTAGAAGTCAAAAGTTGTTATCTGTTTTTTTTATTTTTATATTTGCCAAATTAAATTACTGATGTTTAAAACATTTAAACGTACTTTCACCTGCCTTAACATTTTATTAATTTACAGGCTTCATTCAAAGAGTACAATTTAAAAATAACTTTTAACTTTTCAAACCTGCGTATAGAATTTTTAACTTGAGGTTTTTATTAAATGTATTTGAAATACATTCACGTATATACATATATATATATAAATGTAAATGTATAGAATTGTTTTTATATGAGTTCTAATTTCATTTTAAGTTCTCTAAAAATAAACTTTTAGTGAATTGAAATTGTATACAAATTTGATACAATAATTGCTTTTGTTTGTTAATGACTAAAAACACATTTCACTAAATAAACAAAATAAACAAAAATAAATATATTTATATATATAATATAAAAATACATAAAAAATGTGAATATAAGTGGCTATGTTGTTTTATAAATAAATTCAATTAGATTAGAATTTTAAAGACAATAAAGTCAATTCGTAATAAAAGATGTTTATGTAGATTTTATTAAAGTCTGTTCAAAATTTATTTCAAATATATAAGTTTTTTATATATAATATGGACCTCAAGATTGATTCAATCAAAAAATACATAAAGCATAGAGCCCTCAAAATTATTTACGACAACTGATAGGCTTACTAACACCGAGTTATCGAATCTCAGAATGGTTACAGGCTCCTCGGGGAGGTATGCAGATCTGAGGTCAATTATTGCTTAGTCTGATCAAGTAGAGAGGGGTTAGTATGAAGTAACCTCGCAGTTAATAGAGAGTAAAAGTGCTCAGGTGCACTGACTCAACTAGCCTCAACATAATAATTGAATATTTTGCTTTAAATAATTTTATATGAACTAAACACAGTATTGTAGGTAATGGGTTTTTCAGTTTAGCAAAATGTTTAAACCATATACATATGGTATGGTTTTAATCTGTAAAATAGGATGGCTCGCTCCTATTATGTTCATTTTTTTGACTACATTTCAATTGAATGTTTGTTACGCATTAAAGAATATGTCGGAGATCAGACAGACTATACATATATCTTCATAATCAGTACAAGAAAAAGAGTTGAATTTACCAATGTTCATCGCTCTAGTTAAGTTTATGACCGACCAAAATGTACTCATTTACTTAGTAGTTTAAAGAAAGCGTTTTAAAGCAATATCTTAAAACAAACTTGTATGATACAGACGCTTATTTGACCATTACAGAAGTGAGTTATCCTTGGCTGTGTCTAGTAAGCTCCTCCACCCAGCCCAATTAGTTCTTGTACCGAAGATACGAACGTCTTCTATGTACTTACCGATCTGACTGAGCTGTCATTCTGCAATATAAGGACTTAGCTAGATTCATAGAATTATCAGGTTGGTTTACCTTTACCTAATGGGGGATCATATAGTCTATGTACGAACAAACGCTATTCCTGTGGTACCACAGCGGGCCATTATTTGAGCTCAAGTGGGCTTTCTTGATACACTAGGTCGCCACTCCAACCTAACCTAACATAACTTTTATGTACGATATGATTAATTCAACGAGCCGTTTAAAATAGTAATATTAACATAACAAAAACAAATAAAATGAGAGAATAAAATATAAGGACAAAAATATTTCTAACGCAGTGTAGAATATGTCGGAGATTATACAAATTATGTATTTTCAGCAAAACATTTTTGAAGATTTGATTTAACAACGTCCGGCTGTCTAGCTATTTTTCTAATTGATTAAAATGTATGTAACGTTGTGTAGAATATGTCGGAGATCATACCAGCCAATACAACAATACGAGTCGGTTTAGCCATCCTTCTCTGTTTCTTCTCTATTTCTCTCTATAATCTTTTTTCAGGTCTGTTAATAAATAAACTAGGCTCACAATTCTTAAATTAATCGAATTAAATTTAGCATAAGATTTTTTATGCAAACAGACAGATAAAGTCAAAAACGGATGAAATTAGTTAACTACACACAAAGCTTACACAAAGTATCTGTCAAATATGATATATAATATCAAGAATATATATGTGAATTGCATTAACTCTGCTCAAAAAAAAAAATCAAAAATTTGGCTGACAAAATAAATAGTTAATATTAGTAATTAGTTGATAAATGATTTGTAAAATAACTGTCTGAAGGTTATTATAGGTTGAAGATATTTAAGCTTTAGTACAGCTCAATATAAATTTTATTCTTTTAATATAGTTTTTGTACATAAAAATAAATGAATTTGTACTTAATTTTGATTACTGCTTAATATAGTGTCGTGTGTCGAAAACAGTTAATATTTTATGAATTTTATTTAGTAGTATTTAAAATAAAGTAAAAAAAAAATAATATAACATGCAATAGATCTATTGTTGAATTAGAATGGTGATTGCAGAAATGGCTTCCACTTCGTCAGTCTGAGCCATGGTTTACTAAATAACGTGTCTAACATAGATAGTACATATTTAAAATATAGGGTCATCAAAAAGCAGATTACTGTGACCTTAAAAAATATTTTGCACTACTAAATGTTTTGCCATTTATTTTAATATCATTGTTTTTATATTTTAACTCCTGTCCTGTAGGCGTTTGTGTGTCATATAGTGGATAGAAGATCGTTTACCCGGTATACCGGAGTCAAAGAAAAAATTTTTCGAAAAAAAAGATTCAAAAAAAAATTCCAAAAATCTCAATATCTTCTAAAGGGTTTATCCCAATACTCATAGTCTAATTTATACCTCATCTCATACTTAAAAATATATTTAAATAATATTACTAAAAATTAATTTTTTTAGTAACGATTTTATTATTATCAATTTTTTAAATTTAAACTTAATTGTAATTAATATTAAACAGTAATAAAATTTATTATTCATAGAAACTATAAACAATATTTATAAATATATTTTTTAATGACGAGCTTAGTTAGAATCGTATAATAATAATTGTAAAAAACAGAACATTGCATATATCGAATTTCTTAATCTATAAAAATACTTCACTAATTTCTTTTTTTTTTTTTTTTTGAATAAAAACAGTTAACAAAACATCAAATAACTGAGCTCAGCTTTATAATAAGAAATTTATTTCTAGTCATTAAATTCTAGTTTCATTACATAGCTTTTTTTAAAAATAAATATTTTTTTCATTTTGAATAGTTCCTCACGCCCTTTGAAACTTTTGGGCTGTTTTGCTATGGTACTTTAAAAAAAAATAATTTATGCAAAAACAATGGGGAATTTTTAAATAAGTTTTTAATTAAAATAGTTTTAAAACGTTATTCACGTTATTGCGTTTTATATTAAAATTAAATATAAGACCGATATGTGAATAGTGTGATTTAAACTTAATTTAAAGTATATTTTTTATATTAGAATTTATTAAGATTCCAAGCTATATGCTTCATATCATATACCATTTGGATATTTATCTATTGGGAAATTATCTATGTAAATCAATATCAATCAATAAAAGTTCAAACAAACTTATATTCAATAATTAATATAAGTTTGAAAATATTCAATTTGTTTAATAAGGCAATCGCTCTAATTGGCCAACTCACTTAGATCCTTCAGATCCATTGTTATATCACTGCTTGACACAGCAGTATATTTACTTATAAAACTATTGTGAAATTCTTTTCTATACTAGAAAAAATATTCTACTTTTTCTTTTTCCGCTTCACCTCTACAATATCTGGAAGGACAAGCCTTGGTGCACTAGTGACTAACAAATATCCACACGACTTAAGAGTTGATTTCTATGAATGGGTTTCTTCATATTTTTCAGCAAGTATCAACCACATGAGTCTAAATGTTATACAATTATCTGCATTTATCCAGAACCTGTTGTGTCTTTAACAGCTCTATTTAATAACTTAAAGATCCCGATAGCTAGTCTAATATCATTTCTGTCAAAGCTTTACGGAAGTTTTGTACATTGTCTTGCTTATTTGTTAGCCCTATAATTTCGTTTAAAGCCATTGTGCCTCGAAACTAATATTAGATTCACACTGAAAAGTATTTCATGTTGTTAAAGATATTATATATATACTTTATTAATATGCAATGTTTTCAATTTTTTGTTATTAAATTTTATTTTTTTTTTCCTATTATAACATTCTTAATTACGAGTAATATTTACGTATATTTGAATATATAATATATATATATAGAAAATGAAGTACAGTATTTTACCAAACAGAACAATAGAAATCTAGTTACATCTGTTAGTTTATACGTTTTAAATATTTTTTATTGAATAAAGTTCACATTATATATAATTTAATTGTTAATACTATCCCGCTTAGCGACCATATTAC